TCCATTAACTAATGGCGATCACTACTCGATCCATGAACCAACACGAAGACAATCCTCCACAAGAGGAGGAGGTTGCACCTCCGCCTATCAACCCTGTTCCGGATATTCTAGCCCCGAATCCCCAACAAATATTGGAGACCATGCAGCAACTGGTTGCTCAAAACCAACAGTTACTGCAACTCATACTTGCTAGACAAGGAGGTGCACAACATGAAGGACCCCAAGGTGGAGCACCACAAGGAGGTGCACAACATGGAGGACCCCAAGGTGGAGCACCACACGGAGGTGCACAACGTGGAGNGTAGGTACACAACATGAAGGACCCCAAGGTGGAGCACCACAAGGAGGTGCACAACATGGAGGACCCCAAGGTGGAGCACCACACAGAGGTGCACAACGNGCCTTTGATCGGATTGGAGGATTAATTGATGTGTACGTAAGTTAGTCGAACACTATGACTGTTTAACAAAAAAAAAAAATATACCTTTTTTTATATCCAAATATGAACTGTACAAGCATATTCTTTGTTACTCCCACCACACTTACGACTACCAAAACTTAATTTGCTCTGATCTCGAGTTCTTCCTTTATATTCCTCAATAAGCAGACCATGGTAGCACCGCTTGGGGGAGGGGAGGGTATATCTACTTTTGACAGAAAAAACTTCTGTCATAAATTATATTAGATTGATCTCGTATTTAAATTTATGAATTAGAATTATGAATGAGTCGCCGACATGATCGAGTTATGTAACATATAAATGGTGTATAGNGTATCTCCAGGAGGATGAGGGTGAAAAACAAAACATGGGGCATGGAAGCCACTTCCATGATCACTCCAGAGGAGCCCCCAATCACTGGGNGAATTATGAATGAGTCGCCGACATGATCGAGTTATGTAACATATAAATGGTGTATAGGTGGATTTATATTATATATAAAGAGTTTATTTATATAAAATTCATTTATAGAGTTTAGTCCAAATTATATTGATTTCTTATTAANGTCTTTGATCGGATTGGAGGATTAATTGATGTGTACGTAAGTTAGTCGAACACTATGACTGTTTAACAAAAAAAAACAAAAAAATTATCTTTTTTTATATCCAAATATGAACTGTACAAGCATATTCTTTGTTACTCCCACCACACTTACGACTACCAAAACTTAATTTGCTCTGATCTCGAGTTCTTCCTTTATATTCCTCAATAAGCAGACCATGGTAGCACCGCTTGGGGGAGGGGAGGGTATATCTACTTTTGACAGAAAAAACTTCTGTCATAAATTATATTAGATTGATCTCGTATTTAAATTTATGAATTAGGATTATGAATGAGTCGCCGACATGATCAAGTTATGTAACATATAAATGGTGTATAGGTGGATTTATATTATATATAAAGAGTTTATTTATATAAAATTCATTTATAGAGTTTAGTCCAAATTATATTGATTTCTTATTAAATTGATACTTTGAGTAATAAAATCACGGATTTGCCAAATGGAAGATGAATTTGACAATTAAATCAAAAAATTGGTGGCCTTTGACTACCTTTCGGCCAATCGGATAGTACGGCAAGCACTCAAAAGATTCATACTGGTTATCTTTTCAAATCCAAAGATTTTTTTGTCTGACACGTGTGGCTTCCTCATTGCACACAGGGTCACTTTTCCATTTAATATACAAACCACAAAGAAGAAGAAGAAGAAAATTCAGGTTTAAATACTACTAGCAATTGTGGCACATTTTGAATCTGGCTGTGAAATGGGCAATGTTCAATGAAGAAGACGTTTCGCAAATGCACTTATAAGAGAAAGGGATTTCGATCACTTCTTTCCATACAAATAGTGTTTGGTGCATCTTTGAATTCAAATCACAGAAGATTCCTGGAAAATGAAGAGCACCAGCCGGCGAGGATGTATGGGGCCCAACAGAAAGTGAATGATTTGGGCGTACGATGGATCACTTTTAGGATCCACCTTTGGTACAGAAGGAGGTACGTTATCAAAATTTACAAGTGTTGCCATTTAAAATGTAAGTTGTGGAAGTTTATTCACAAAAAAAGAAAAGAAAAAAAAATGGTATCGATCGTAATAAAAATGTTTGGATCGATTTTAAAAAATTTATAATTCTTTGGGTCATATTATAATTTTCAAGATTTAAGTTACAATTTTTTAAAGGTCAAATTATATTTTTTTGGGTACTTGAGGATCTCAAATACCCCAAAAAATTTACAAAACAAACTTATAAGTGGTGATACAATGCTATTTTTTTTTTAGGATGCCGTAAACTTCTTTTAAAACATGATATATTCGTGGCATCTTGGGTTCTTATTATATAATTATGTTTAGTCAACTAAGTTATTAAATGAGTTTAGTTGATCAAAAGTAGATCGATTATGAGTATATGTCTTTTAGATTTAAATTCTTTTTAATATATATATTTTTAAATTTTTTTTGTGAATTATTTATGATAAATGAATATACAATTCATTTGTATATAATATCTTTTCCTTAAATACATTATAAATAATTCATCAAGAAAAATTAAAAAAAAAATTACTGAAGAGAATCTCACTCAATTACCTCTAATTATTTATAAATATGGACATTAATCAAAGGCTCAAAAGTCTATGGCCGCCCACGGGAGGGCATTTGGAAATAGGGTAAGTGTTAATCAATAAGATTAAAGAGTAATTAATCCATTTAAGACACAATAAAACCCAAAAAACAGTATCATATATATATAAACAGTGTCCAGGTTCATCCTCCCAAAATCTCCCACCTTTATTACCTTCATCCCTTAAAAAATCCAACATGAATCCCCCACCTGCCTCTCAATTCTGAAAATCACAAATAAGCTCTCTCTCTCTCTCTCTCTCTCTCTCTCTCACACACACACACACACACACAAACACACAAACCAACCAGCCCACCAGACATTCCAAAATTTGTGTTCCTGAAATTCCTCTGTCTCTCTCTCTCACAGACACACACACACACACACACACCAACCAGGCCACCAGCCATTCCAAAATTTTCATTCCTGAAAGACTGTCTCCTTCTCTCTCTCTCTCTCTCTCCCCCCAATATTGTAGTGCCCAATACCACTTAAACAAAAGCAGCGAAAATATTCATACTCCCCCCGTCCAATGGCGACCATGGCTGCCCTTTTCATCAAAACTCCAAATCCAACTCCCTCCTTTCCCAGAGCACAAAAAACCCATTTCACCCCATCTATCAATCTTTCTCTCTCTTCTGTCTCAAAGCCAAGAACCCACCCCAGAACCCGTATTTCTTGCGGATTGATTGACCCGGATGGTGGCAAACTCATTGAGCTCGTGGTTGATGAGTCCCAGAAGGATATCAAAAAGAGACAAGCTTTGTCTTTGCCCAAAATCAAGCTCTCGACAATCGATCTTCAATGGGTCCATGTGCTCAGTGAAGGTTGGGCAAGCCCGTTGAAAGGGTTCATGAGAGAGTCCGAGTTCCTCCAAACTCTTCATTTTAACTCGCTCCGAGTTGAAGACGGGTCTTTCGTCAACATGTCGGTGCCTATCGTGCTCGCCATTGATGATTCGCAGAAGAATCAGATTGGTGGGTCGACCAGTGTTGCTCTTGTTGATTCTAAAGATAACCCTGTTGCAGTTTTGAGCAAGTAAGTCCAGTTTGGATTATTACTATTTTTATTTTGATGTTCAAGTTTTAGCAATTTATATGAACTTGTTTTAGTAGGAATTGGAAGAACATCTCTAATTTTTATTTAAATCTTGATTGAAATTAAATTTGAGTAAAAACATGCCAAAAACAAGTTGGAGTCGTTACTCAAACTTATATTAAAGAGAGAGCTAAATTTTTTTCTCAAATTTTGAAATGATTTCAACCTCTAAATTTGGATTTTTCATGAGTTATTGGAGCGTTTTGTGTCAAATTAAATTTTTTATTTAAATTTGAATAAAAATTTAAAGCAATGCTATTATGACATAATGTACTAATCTAATTTGCTACCTAATTTATTATGATTTTGGATTGATGTAGACCCAACAAACATTGAAACATCCCAATCCCAATGGTTTTTGATAAGACTTTTGGAGTGATAGAGGAACCGTAGCAGTGGTTGGGCTGGTCACCCTTGTTCTTTATGAATATGTTTTAACCTAGCCACGATGACAATCTTTGAGTTCGAAGGAGTAATCATGTACATGACACCCCGAAAAATAAAATAATAAAAAAGGTGAATAATAGAGGTAGCAACTTGTGAAAATCAACCATTGTTTTTTTGTTTTTTGCTGTGTTTGGTCCCATGACTGTGATGGATCAGTTGTTAAAAACTCTATGATTGATCCCACTGTTTTTTGTCAACATTAACACAATAATTTGATTGCAATATTGATGATTTTACGAGCTCTCCCCCACTTTGCTTATTTTTATTTTATGCAAGAAATTTGTCGGAAATTGCCCTATTGATGATATTGGGTTTTTTGTGGAAAATTTGTGCATCAAATGTGTGACATAATTGTTTGAATTCAATCAGTCGACACATATTTTATAACTGAAAAATGGCATAATTCATTTTTTAATCTTTAATTTAATGACTTGACAACTGTTTCTCACCTTTTTGCTTTGTGCTTTGGGTGAAATTGTAGCATTGAGATCTACAAGCATAACAAGGAAGAAAGAATAGCGAGAACATGGGGTACCACTGCCCCTGGCCTACCTTATGTTGAGGAAGCAATAGCCAATGCTGGAAACTGGCTGATTGGAGGTGACCTGGAGGTGATTGAACAAATCAAGTATCATGATGGCCTCGATCGGCTCCGACTGTCCCCAGCAGAACTCCGTGAGGAATTCACCAGGCGGGGTGCCGATGCAGTTTTTGCTTTTCAGTTGAGGAATCCTGTGCACAATGGCCATGCTTTGCTTATGACCGACACGCGGCGTCGACTTCTTGAGATGGGCTACAAGAACCCTGTACTCTTGCTCCATCCGCTGGGAGGCTACACAAAGGCTGATGATGTTCCTCTTACTTGGCGAATGAAGCAACATGAGAAGGTTTGTATACTCTTATGTTCTGGTGCTTACTTAATTCCCATACATAGATTGATTTGTGGATGGGGTTCACATTAAGATGACAGCCATAGTGCACTTAGAGACATTATCTGCTCGGACTAGAGGTTAATTTGCCATAGTAGACTAGAGAAGCTTCATTCATGACATGCTTCCCCAGCTCTCTCCCGGGTTTTTACTGTTTCGACCATGTCTCTCTCTCCAAATACATAAACCAAAGATAGGAAGTGTTTGAAAGTCATCAGAGTGCACATTCTTGTTAGTGAACTAGAACACATTTGTCCACTGATTGTGATAATGATATATGGTGGAAGCTTGGGACCCCGGCCTTTGCTGATTTGGCTTTATTAATCAACCGTTTCCTCAGGTGCTTGAAGACGGTGTTCTGGATCCAGAGACTACTGTGGTTTCTATATTCCCATCTCCCATGCACTATGCTGGACCAACAGAGGTGCAGTGGCATGCAAAGGCTCGGATAAATGCAGGTGCAAACTTTTACATTGTTGGACGAGATCCAGCTGGAATGAGCCATCCAATCGAGAAAAGAGATTTATATGATGCTGATCATGGCAAAAAGGTACTGAGCATGGCTCCTGGACTTGAGCGGCTAAACATCCTCCCTTTCAAGGTATACAAACCACCCTCGTTATTGATACAACAATGTCACTTCTTTCGTTACATTTGTGGTGAAAATTCAAGTATCTAATTGCTCAGTGCAACTGCGCGCAGGTCGCTGCATATGATAAAACTCAGAGTAAAATGGCATTTTTTGATCCATCAAGGCCTCAAGATTTTCTCTTTATTTCGGGAACCAAGGTATCATTTTTCCACATATGCCTACCTCTTTGAATTCTAAAAGAAACAAGAAAACTATGGGAATAAAATGCATTACATTCAAGTATTCTAGATCTTGGTTGTGTTTCTGTGTTGGTAATGGTATATACATTGTTTCTGATTGCTTGCTTGCATATTGCAGATGCGAACACTCGCGAAGAACAAGGAAGACCCTCCCGATGGATTCATGTGCCCTGGTGGTTGGGAAGTCTTGGTGGAATACTATGACAGTTTGGCTCCCACTGAGAATGGCAAAGTGCTTGAACCAGTCCCAGCTTAAGAGATTGACTATGTTGACATGTATACTGTATGTTTGGGTGAAACCTTGAAGTTTACTCATCGCCAATGTGGAAATGGTTCCAATTTGGTAAAAATTCTCATGCCAGATCTCTAATAAATTCTGTTGAGGCATTGGTACAGAGACAACACTTTGCCAGAATTTGCGCTTAGAGCGCCAAAGATGGCAATGTTGAAATTGTGCACTTGTGTAAGTGTGCACATTGTATCATAGCATTATTGTGTATGTAAGAAGGAAATAAGTTGTTTTTCTTTTTTTGTTGGAAACAGGGGAAATCACTGGCCTGTCTCTGGCGATTAGAGGCGTGTTTATATTGCTTGACTTGTAAGTCTGAGTAGAACCGAGGACAAGGCAAACACCTTGGATTCAGTTTGTCCAAGTAATTGAGGTTTGTTTTACTAACCAACTATGTTTTTTGCTACCAAGACACTTGAACCCTCTTAACTTTAAGAAGGTAAAGTTTTAAGAAGTCAAAAAATACTATTAAACAAAAGGCTCGTTGGTAAGAAGGAAATACATTTGTGCTTGCCCCAAAAGCCGATGTTTGAAGCCTTTGCCTGTAGAGAAAGAAAACAATCAGTAAATCTCGAGTCAGTTCATAATGCTGCAAAGACATGCTTTAGGATCTAACTCAACCTACGAAAAAGCTTGCAAAATTTGTCGAGAGAGCAATCATAGCTAACAACCTGTGATAACGATAGCTACTCCACAAGAATACCCAATTAACAAGAACAACTATGCTCGACACAATGGAGCAACTCCTATATCCACAATTCGTGCATGAATACCCAATTAACCAAGTTAACACAGACCCAATTAAACGAAATCACAGTAAAACAGTAAGAATCATAAACAGTTTCACACGCTAGCTAGACCCGTTGAATATATAAGTCAAGAGTAGTTTCATCTTTTTTATGTTCCGTTTGGTATGATAAAAAAATAGAATGATAAAAAATTAGAATAATAAATAAAATATTATATTTGGTAAGGAAGAAAAATAGGAATGATGGAAAAGTATATGGATGAGCTTTCCTTTCAACTGATCAAAATCAATCCCTTCAAAATGAAAGTGGATGAAAAGTTGATTATTTGTATTAAAATGTATCTTATTTGTTTATATATCTTTTGATATATACATATCTTATGTATACATTAATTTCATATATAAATACAATGATAAAACATGTATTTATATTTTTTAAAATAATTAAAAAATAAAAATAAAAATAAAAAAATATTTTTAATCTTAGCTAGGGATGTAAATTTTCGACTCTACACGATGATATGACTCGAACTCGACACGAATTTTATGACACGAACTTGATTATAACTCGACAAGAACTCGAAAATGACCTGACACACGAACACGAAATATAAACGGTTTTTATTCGGTTCAACTCGTCAAACTCAAAATTGACACTATTAACCCGTTTATTTAAAAATAAATATTTTTTTTATTTTCTCATTTATATGGTAATACAAAATTAACATATTTAACTAGTATTATAAATATAAAATGTTAATTATTTGTAACTATTTATTAACCATTGACAGAATTATTATATAAAAAATATATTTTTACCCATTATTATTATTATTATATTAATTTAATTTAATTTTTAATTTATAAAAAAATATATGAGCATGGATTCAAGTAAGTGAAAATAGAATATTAATGTTAAATTTTTTTTTTCAAAATTTAAGGGGGTCAACACAAATACGAACACGAACACAAATACGAACACGAACACAAACACAACACGAAAATAAACAGGTCAACTCTATACGACACAATTAATTAAAATGAGTTGAATTATGTTTGACTAATGTTCAACATGAACCCGCATTGGCTCGACACAAACCTGACACGACATGACTCAATTGTCACCCATAATCTTAGCAAACATAAAAAAAATATTAATTATTTTTATTTTTCATCCATTCTACTAAACACAAAAGAAAAAAAAATGCATAATTCTTACTTTTCCTCCTTGAAGAATAGAAAATATATTTCACCTACTTTTTATCCGTGCTATTTTCTATCTTTCCGACCAAATGGAACATTGGAGACATCGTTGGATTCTCGAGAGCAATCATAGTTAACAACCTGTGATAGTGAAGTCTGGAACCTGAACCACCACGCCCTTTGAATTTTGAAAGTAAATTCCATCACAAACCAAAAGAAAATTTACATCAATATGCAATACATTCGGCAAAGAAAACCACATGATAGAAAGAGCAGGATATGACTGGATTGCCATATAAGAGGAAACACTAAAGCATTCTACACCGTAAATTAAAGTAACATTAGCAATTCCAGTAAGGGAAGATTGAGTAAACGGAGGAGCGAAAGAACCCAAAAACCAAAAAACTCAATTATAATCGAAGTCGGTTGCATATTTATCTCTAAATATAATTGGAAATCATGAATAAACAAAACACACTTCAAAAATTATTAAAATTAAACTAACCCATTGCAGAGTATCCATGCTTCATAGATCACAATCATTTGACTCCCTACTCCGATTTTGGCCAATTGGAACTGCTAAAAATGGCTGCTTCTAGTTCAGATATGCACTTCACAGTCCAACTTATTGGCCAAGAAACAGCAGCAAGTGCAATACTTGTGCCCCACCGACCCCAATCGAGCCTTGCAGTGTCTGCAAACCTGTCCAGAACTTCCACCATCAGCACTTGAAGAATAATGATTATCCCAATGATCCCCCAAAACAGTTTTTTCTTTCTTATATCCTGAAATACATTCTTCTCAACATTGAATATGGTGAATATCTGGCAGAGAACATAAGTATTGAGGATAAATGTACCGTTTGCATTCGGATCGACATTGAAGATTGATTTTCCCTTCAAATGTATGGTTAGGAGGATGGCTATCTGATATAAAGCTTGAACCATTATGTTCCCCAGCATGATGTTGGTCATTAGAGGTCCATTTCTTCCCCGAGGTGGTCGGTTCATAAGCTCTTCAGCAGGCTGCTTCATAATCACTGCCAGAGCAGCCAATGTATCAATCATCAGCTTCACCCACATTATTTGAAGAACTGGATATGGGACTTTACCAGCTGATAACAATGCCACTGCACCAATATTCGGGGGTTCACCTGTTGAAATTGCCATCACAAAGTCGGTCACCAGAGCAACAAAACTGGTAATGAGCAGGAACTGAGTGTATATCTGCACACTCTCAAAAATGCCTCTTCCCCAACTCAAAATGCTTATTACAGAAGCCAGATTTTTGTCCTGGATGACAATATCTGAGCAGGCCTTGGCTATATCGGTACCAAGACATAGTCCTACATCAGCTTCCCTCAATGCCTGCACATCTCCAATCCCACACCCAATAACTGCAACAACATGGCCCTTCTGTTTCAAGCATTGCACCATAAGCAATTTATGTTTGGGGCTGGCTCCTGCCATCACACAGATGTTGTCAACTTTTTCCATTCTCTCCTCTTGAGTGTAGTTCCAAAATTCCACACCTTGTATTACTTCTCCAGGTTGTTCATTCGCCCCAACTACACCACATTTCGTGACTATAACTCTGGCAGTTTGAATGTTGTTTCCTGTGATGATCTTGATGTTCACTCCAGCACGTTGGCAATCTTTCACAAAATCTTCAACTCCATCTCTAAGCGAGTTTTTTAGACCAAAAAGACCTAATAAGATCAAATGTCGACTAGGAAACAATCTTTGTGTCGATGTTTTTTTATGAGCGAAAGCAATGCACCTGAGGCCATTCTTTGACATGCGTTCAAGTATTTGATACAACAACATCTGTGCATTTTCGTTAATGGGTTTGACAGTTCCGTCTGCTTCATAATAGTGAGAGCATGAGGGTATTATCACCCCAGGAGCTCCTTTATGGTACGCATGAATCGTGTTGTCGCCATTCTTTCTTATCAAAACCGCGCTTTGTCTATCCTCTGAGCTATAGGGTTTAATTTGAAGAATGGTACAACGTCTGTTCAATGATTCTATGTTCATTCCGGTATTTTGACTGGCCCAATCGGAAATTACTTTTTCGATGGGATTCTGGGGAGATTGGAACAAACCTGCATTTAGACCGATTCCTTGGTGAAGCAATTCAATGACAGCTGGTGCAGTCAAAATGGCAGTAACTTGTTCAACGAACCTCAAACCCAGGCAGAACTCTTTCACCTTTTTCACAATAATACAGATACAAGGGAATTAGAATAGAGGACAAGTTGGTGCTGTTGGTTGTACAAAGAGACGAAGAATGGAGGTCATGAGATATGTCGGATGATAGGGGCAAGATTCTGTTGGAGAAGGAGGGGAGGTATTACCCTAACCATGGGGTTTTTCAAACTTATAGCTAAAAGGCGGTACTTTTCAAACTATTTATCAAATTCAGATACTATTAAAAACGGCATTCCAACTAATTTTTTATGTCAAAAGACATTAGTTTTTTAAAGATGTTGGTTGAAATGACATTTTTAAAAGTATTTGGTTTTGAAAAATAGTTTGAAAAGCACCATCTTTGAGGTATAAGTTTGAAAAATCACATAGGTTAGGGTAAAAGCTCGGTAATAAATCTTCAATGATAATTTGTTTATTATCCAAAATCCTTCTGATTTATATTTAAATATTACTGACACTTATGTTGTTAAATCACTTTTTTTAACCAAAAAAAAAATTTATTTAAAATACCAAAATTAAGCCTATATAAACCCAAAACAATCTTTTTCTATAAAATTTAATTAAAATTTATTTTCTACATATTATAATTCTAGCCGGTTAAAATTCAATTCAAGTTGATTAAAAAAAAAATTTCGTATTAAAATTTGAATGTATTAAAAAAAAAATTTACGTATTAAAATTCGAGTCAATTTGAGTTCTACTTGAACTATTAGCTACTATTANAAAATTTCGTATTAAAATTTGAATGTATTAAAAAAAAAAATTACGTATTAAAATTCGAGTCAATTTGAGTTCTACTTGAACTATTAGCTACTATTAAAATTCGTTTCAAGTCGATTAAAAATTATATTTTTTATTTATTAAAATTTGATTCAAGTTGATTAAAATACATTTTTAACATATTAAAATTTATATTTTTTTTTCTGTATCAAAATTTGGGCCAATTAAAATTCAATCCTAGTTGATTAAAATTTGATTCGAATTTTTAATTGGCTTGAATAGAATTTTAATCAACTCAATTTTTAATATGTACAAAAATATAATTTTTAATTGACTCGACTTAATATGTAAAAAATAAATTTTATTTAGCCCGAATTGAATTTTAATTAAATTTGGAAAATAGAATTGCTTCTTTAAAGAAATGTTTATCTAAAAAGGTGTTTATAAAGTTTTTCCAAAAAGGTGCTGAAAAACCAATGAGAAGAACAGAGTGGAACAAATAAAGTGATCAGTGATGGAATGCATATAATCGGATGCTTACCCAGCAAATATTCTAATCTAACTGATACGAGAGGAAAATAGACACAAATTCAAAGAATCCCAGATGCATTTTTTTGAGGTGCATGGCACAAAAACTAACATTATACCTCGTCGTAGTCGATCAGACTGCCAGTCATGTTGGTGCATATGGTGGTAACCGATCCAATTGCATCACAGAGTGAAGGTCTCCTCAATACAACGTTATCATCATTCAACATTCTCTTCATTGAATAAACAAAAGTAATCTTGACAGCCAACAACAGACCTTCTGGAGCTGAGGTTGCTGCAACCATGGCTGGAGTAGCTACAATTCCAACTAAAGCTTTCAATACATCAACGATAGGGATAGGTTCTCCCCCTCCAATAATTATCCTCTTTCCTTGGCCATTGCTTATTTTCCCGGAAAACAAGTGAGCCAACATAACCAAGAGAATCACGAAAGCCATTGCATGACCAAATTTACCAATCACTCAGATTAGTTGTTGGGACTGATTTATCATTTCCCCTTGTAAATGAATTTTCTGGGTCCATCTGTTCTTCCCAACGGCAGTAACAAGCATTCGAGCATACCCATCAACCACTTCACTGCCACAACACAAGAATGGATTGTCGTGGCCATCAACTTCCACCACACCTTCAGTTTGTCCCTCCTTTACCTGTAACTAGCACCCACTTTTAGCTTTTGTTCATAATAATAAAGAAATAGATCAACAGGTAGGTAGGTATGCATAGATAGACATGTAAAATAGGCATATCAACGCAACACGAACCCTCAAAACAAGCACGAGAAGCTTAGCGATTCACGAGAACCAACATTCATTAATTTTTAGGGGCGGTATGAATTGAAAAAAAAAAATCATGAATCCGGTCATGTTATCGGTCATCGACTTGTAGAGCTCTGAGACACATCGGTTGCGGTGTCACGAAACCATATTGGCCGATTCGGTGACGATATCTTGACGACTCGGATACAACTCTAACGACTTGTCCAGTTGTGCGAGATTTTGAGTTTATACATATCATGTAACGATATCGTCTTGGAACATGGTTCAAAGTATTGTCTTATATGAATTGGTCGAGTTATATCCAACTTGATATCTTTTGAGACAATACTAATACACGATACGTACAAATCTTAATTCTCACACAACTTGGTCAAATTGTTTGATTTGTATCTGAGTCAATTCCTAGTGGTCGAGTAATCGTCACCAAATTATTTGATACGGTTCCACGATGCCGTGATATGACCTGAATTTCTTGTCATATTTAACATTTTCTTTAAGATGGTATCATCCAATACCACGTGTTTCAAAACTTTCCAAGTCAACGACCAACGCCGCGAATTTAAACCATGTCACTGAAGGTATGGGTCGGATGCGACTTGGCCTACTCGTCAACCTTACCTGTAATGAGCACCCACTTAATAAGAGTCCATCAGCAGGAACTAGGTCTCCAGGCTTCAAGAAAACTATATCCCCAACCACAATTCTGGGAATTGATATCCGCTGCCACTGGCTGCTTCTCACAACATGAACCTGAGGGATATGACTACTAGCTTCAGATAACTGGTGACACAACCTGTGTGGCAAAAAGTTACTTACGGCGGAGATCGTCGCAGCTATAAGAATTGCAACAAGTTTGGTAACTCCTTCACACCATCCTTCTCTCCGGCCATTTTCTTTAATGCCAAAACAAACAGAGAGCACAGCACAAACAAGTAGGATGATAATCATGGGATGTTTAAGCGCTTCCAATCCAAAGTGGTGGAATTTCTTTACAGGTTCGTCCTCTCCATAAAAATTGGAACCAAAGACTACGCATCGGTCGTTAATGTCTGTGCTATTGCCTTGGATCCCGTTTTCTGCATGAGTTTCCAGAGCTGAAACTAACTCTTCAACTCCACCCTGCTCGCTAACCCACCTCAGGTCTTTCGTCTCCACAAGCTTGGCCATGCTTGATGTGTGGATTGTAGAGAAGCGACGTGGCTCGATGGTAAATGTCTTAGAATCACAAAGCATGTCTAATTGGGTCCGAGTTGGCCCGTTCGGGGTGCAAACAAAGGTTGACTGAAAGTTGCTGGACATGAATTTGAGGAGAAAAAAAGAGCAACGCAAGGAAGGTAACTAGGTTCTGTGTGGGTATTGTTTCCTACAACGTCGTGGAAAACACACACCACGAATATGCAAGAAGAGAAACACCTCCAAACTTGAATGAACACAGTGAAAAGAAAGGGATACAACGAGTGTTCCTGTTCGGGCGTGTTATATAGAGAGAGAGAGGGGGGATTCTTTATTTCATGGAATAATTTTTTCTTCTCTCCGTTGTATTATATAAGATGAATAAAAACTAAACAAAAAATTGATTTCTTCTTTTTTTACGTTTGATAATATAAAAAAAATTATAAATTAATATTTTATAATATATATAAATATATATAATATTTAATAAATAAATAAGATATATGCATATATTAAATTAAAAGATATAAAGGTAAATAATATACATTTTAACATACATTCTTATCTTTCACTCCACTTTACCTCCAAATTTTGGTGAAAAAGGTTTTGGTGAGTTGAAAATAAGATTAATTCATCCACTTTTATATTATTTCTATTTTTCTTCTTCAGGAGAATAATATTCTATCTATCTTTTTATCGACGCGTTTTTTTTTTTCTGAGGCATGCGCATCAACAAGCTAATAGAAGTGTTGGAGAAATGAAGTTTCAAAGAAAGTTCCTGAGGAATGAGCGAAGCAGGAGGATGGAAGGTTAAATATTCTGGGTGCCCCAACCCCACACCACTCCCATGGACACCCACACAATTTTTATTTTTTATTTTTTAAAAAGGGATCCTCTTTATAAGCAATTGTTTGGGGGGAAAAAAAGAGCAATATTACACACTTAAAAATTTTATTTGATGATGTAGTTATTATATTTAATAATGATTTAATTTTGAGTTCCAGTATCTATTAGGACTCATTTACTATTTAATGATAATGATTCATCAAATTAAATTTTTAAATTTATTTAACATTTTTCGGAAAAAATAACGTTGAAGAAGGTGGAGCTGTATTTAAAGTCAATTCCTCTGTGAAGCAATTCAAGAACCATTGGTGCAATCAAATTGATAGGAACTTCTTCAAAGGAGCTTAAATCTAGATAAAACTGGCCCCAAAAAACAAGAAGGGAAAATGGGATCAATTGATTTCATACTCCCCCGGATACAACGAAAAATAATGTTATTGAAATTTAATTTATTGACTTAATTAATTATTATTAAATATTAAAATTTAATATTAATTTAATAATTATAATGACACAATATCAATAAATTAAGTCATATTTTTAAATTCTAATAAATTAAGTAAATTTATTTATTATTCAGATTAACCGGTTGCTTTATTTATATGCATGTGTAAAGAATTAGTCACTTCTCACCCACAACATGTCATCTCGATTTCAAATCACATGTAATTAACATGTCAAAAATTATCACTCTTATCTAAACTTTCCATTTCTCGTATTCCCAATCAGGCAACACCCATTACATTAGGACTTGACTACGTTGCAGTCAAAAAAATTTCAGTACCATACCTCTAAAATTTATTATTTTAAAAGATATTTTATAATTTTTGTAGATCAATTTATAATTAAAATATTTATTATTTTTGTGGCTGATTTACCACTTTTATGGGTACTTTTACCATTATTATGAGTATTTTTATTATATTTGTGATAACTATATTTACCATGTTTCTTAAATACAAAAAAAATTATTATTTTTCTGGCTGATTTACAACATTTGTGGATGCTTTTACCATTGTTGTAATAAATATTTTTACCATTTTTTGAGATACCACAACAATGGTAAAATTATCCACAAATGTGATAAATCTATGTATGGTACCGAAAAGTTTGGGAGATGTACCATATTCTACTCCATGACATTAATACGTG